ATTCCAAACCACGATCCCCTGCACATACATGTTGATCAAGAAAACAGAAAAGACAAACTTTCAATTGACAAGTACCTTAGTGTCACTGCACAAAGGGTCAAGCAGTACTCAGTACCTACTAAAACTCACAAGACTGTTTGTACGTCCACAATGAGCACCTGACCACCATGGGGCTTTAAAGAAAGCTACATTTGGAGAAACGGCTGTCCTATAAACAGCTTTTGGCCCCCCAGGCTCGGCACCTCCCAAAGCCTTGTTCTGGTCCGCCAGGCTCCTGGAATGGTCAACAGTCGTCACACTCCATCGCTGGCCATTGTCCACTGGGAAAGGTAGGAGGCTCCCAACCCACCCCTCAGTGAAAGAGCAAACAGTGGGGCCTGTGGCTGCCTGGACATCAAAGTAGAGCAAACAGGCCTGGCAGGCCCTGCCTCTCCGCCTACACATCCTGCAAATGCCATCTGAAGGAGCATCCCTGAGCGGGTCATGACTTCCAGCTTGTCACCGCGCACATCAAAGTTTGCACCACACACGAACTCAGTGCATGGGTTCGAATCAAGGTGCCCAAGAGCGGATACTCCACCATTGTATCCAGTTTTAATCCTGTGTTTTCCCAAGTAATTAAGCCTTCTTGCTTATGAACTTGTGACTAAGTAAAGCATCACTGAGAAGTTGTAACATCAAAGTGCCTTCCACCGTCTGTCCATGTTTAGTTAAATTGGATTTCTTTCCGTTCTTAAAGAAAAACTAATTGAATTTAGCTGAAGCCTGGGTATATTTGCACGAGCCAGTAGAGGCTGTGCTAAGTTACAGTGGTCATCCTCGGACCCTGTGGCTTAGCCTTTAGCTGGGCTGGGTCAGAGTGCAACATGGAATGAGGCACCCAGATTTAGGCTAAACAAGTGCCTGTGGCATGAGGCTTATGGAGGTCTCACTGTGGAGAAGGGGCCCACCCCTGCCGACTATTCCTCAAGTCAATACTACACCCAAGCTGTTACTAGGCTTGTGAAAGGACTGTCCGAGCAGAATGTTGGTAAATCTTTGGCAGGACGGCTAGTGAAGACAATGGCCATCACAATGCTCAAGTCCTTGATGTTAGCAGTCCAAGTAAGCTTCTTAAGGCAAAGGCTGGGATGCTTACTTAGTATCTGAAGGCCCTCTAGCCTAGCACATCAGCACCTAACACAGTATAGTTTTTTTTTTTAAGTTGGTAGATGCCTAACATGATAATAAAAAGGTACATCAGAACCAAGTTCCTCTCTCCTGAAGAACCAAAATTCTCTGTATCCTTTTTTGCTTGGTGAGGAAACTTATAACTAAATTCATACTCTATTCCACAAGTTACCTGACTTACAGAGAGTATAGCCTGGTCCCATTTATGTAAAATTAGACACACACAGATATAGATATATAGTGACTGGTTTCTAGATAGAGGAAATTCAGCTGATGGCTCCTTGCTTCTCTATATTATTTTTAAAAAAACAACAAACCTATTTCTGGAAAAGAAAATCTCAAGTTCAATCCTGATAGAATTATCTTTCCTTTTACCAATATGATTTCTGATCTTGATCCAGTTTTAACTCTCCTGTGTACATCTATGTTTGTATTTGAATTTAAGTCACCTCAAACCCTTTTTGGAAATAAAAGGAGGGGATAAATGATTTTCTTTGTTCTATAGCACTATATTTTCTATTCAAAACTAAATAACACTTTCTCCATTCTAAATTAAATAAAATAATAAGTACACACACACACACACACACACACATATATGTATATATAAAAGTTCACAAGAAGTTATCTCCTTAAGGATAGAGACTATCGTGTTCATATCCCCAAGGACTTAACACATTAAGCAGCCAGGCACTAAAGGCAGTGGAGGGTGAAACGACTGGGCTTTTCTCAGGATATCTCCCGTGAGCTTGTGGGCTGCCAACACTGGAAAGGAGGTAAAGGTTCTCTGTTTTCTGCCTTGAATCCCAGGGTGCTGCCCCTCTACTCTTGATACAAACCCAATTCAAAGGTGCTGGCATTTCAGGCCTGGACAGTATGATTCCCAGTTTGGTGACTGATAAGATGAGGATCAGCACACTTCTAACACGGAAAAACATTGGCAGATTGTGCTGGGCTGGACACAATAATCCTTCAAGACTACTCCCACAGTACCTTAGGAATGTGGCCTAGCCACCCTGAGCAGTATATTCCTGGCATACCAGATTCTACTTTTCCTTTTTTCCCATTAGCACTTCTTATCTCCTAACATATTATATAGTTTACTTGTGCATTGAATTTACTGTATATTGTTTGTTTCTGCCTCTTTCTACCCAAGGACCACCACTTGTACAGAAATAAGCTCTTTGAGGACAGGATATTTGTCTATCAAGAACAGTGCCTGCTGTTTATAATAGCCAGGACATGGAAGCAACCTAGATGCCCATCAGCAGACGAATGGATGAGGAAGCTGTGTTACATATACACCATGGAATATTACTCAGCCATTAAAAAGAATTCATTTGAATCAGTTCTAATGAGATGGATGAAACTGGAGCCCATTATACAGAGTGAAGTAAGCCAGAAAGATAAAGACCATTACAGTATACTAACACATATATATGGAATTTAGAAAGATGGTAACGATAACCCTATGTGCAAAACAGAAAAAGAGACTCCTATGTATAGAACAGACTTGTGGACTCTGGGAGAAGGCGAGGGTGGGATGTTTCAAGAGAACAGCATTGAAACACGTATATTATCTAGGGTGAAACAGTTCACCAGCCCAGGTTGGGTGCATGAGACAAGTGCTCGGGCCTGGTGCACTGGGAAGACCCAGAGGGATTGGGTGGAGAGGGAGGTGGGAGGGGGGACCGGGATGGGGAATACATGTAAAAAAAAAAAAAAAAAGATACACTATGGTTGTGATAAAAAAAAAAATAAAAAAAAAAAAACAGTGCCTGGTAAAGAGAAGTTACTGAACAATTTTTGTGATATGAATAAATAAATCTAACCTGAAAGTATGCTGTTTTCTGTAAAAATCTGGGCTTGCTGGGTACTGGAAGGAAGAGGAGGGCATAAAATAGAAGCTTAAAACACCAGTAATTAGCCCCAGGAACCAAGTAAATACAAACCAACACTCTCACTTTGCTCAGTGAGCGTCACTGATTTGCTAATGGCCCTGGATAAAGAAAGAGCAATCAGTTAAACCAACAACTCATTAGATTGAGAGAGAAGTGTCCTCAAAGCACATCTATGAGCAATCTGCTCAATGACTGGCTTTGCTCTTAAATTCAGTGTTACTTCCTATCCTGTATCAACGCTGAAAATATCACACACAGAAGGGCTCACACCCCCTCCCTTTTCTCCACCCCTGGTTATCTCTTGCAGATAGAGATATCTGCAAGCTGGGAAAGACTGGTGGGAGGGGCTGGAGGCAGGGGAGTCGGGTTATCAGAGGTAGAACAAACGCATGTGATTGTGTGTGGACAGGTCTAGCAGCAGAGAATGACATCTCACCACTTGTAACCTGTGGCACATACATTATCTCATCTGACTCTCACAAGAATACAGCGAGAATCCATCTGCTCTTCTGTCAGACTCAGTCCCCTCACCCTCTCTGCTTTGATAACATCCTGTCCACACTGCTCTGACATCACTGATTACACTATACTCTGCTTCTCTACCTGCCTATCTTTTCCACATGAGACCATGAACTCCCAAGGCCTCTGATTCCCCAGTGACTAACACAGAGCCTGGCTCAGAGGAGTTATCTACCAAATGTTTGCAGAAATAGTTGCTTTCAGGTGAAGAAACTAGGTGTCCACAGAATTTTGAAATTCAACCAAGGGTCGGAACCAGAACTGGACACTAGGCTCTGACTTGTAGAGCCTGTTTACATCAATTTTTCTTTTAAAGACTATGTGCTTGGAGCTAAAGAGGCAAATAAGGAGACAGAGTGCTGAGATCAAGTTTATGACAGAGGAGCAGAGAAGAGAGAACTAGCTCCGTACAGCTAAGTCTCTCAGCCAGTCTGAGGCAGTGCCACCTCGACATTATAAAGTCCCAGTTTGGTTGATTTCTCCCACCTTTATGACTCTCACAAAGGTGGTTGGTACTGGCAGATAAAAGCCTTAAAGATCTGGTTGAAGGGAAAATGAAAATTGGCACCTCCCACGATCAATATCAGTGGCTGCTACTGAAGTGCCCAGTCTGCCTTCTTTGAAAGCATCTTTTTCTGCTTTTTCAGTCAGTTCTTTTGCACAATCACAACTAGAGACTCAAAGCATCCAGCCTGAGCCTGGGATCTGGCAGAGGGAGGCAGCAGTGAGTTACAGTAAAACAAACTCTGCAGGCAGCCAGACCAGGTTCTAAATGCTATCTATGTGACCTCAGACAAATCACTCTGCCTCTTTGGGCTTCAGTTGTCTCAGCAGCAAAATTAATACGTATCATGTGGATGGCTGTTGAGTAGTAGAGCTCACTCTCTGTACAAAGTAGACTATTTCAACCTTAACCCAACAGCCGCATGCTGGGGCACTAGGGGAGCGGGCAGGGAAATAGCAGAGCCTACAATGAGAGGGCAGACACCCCACCTTCCCTAATTTCTATCAGAACTTCCAAAGGAATAGCCCAAAGAAGCCCTTGCTGGGGACAGTGACTGCGGACTGCTCAACATGAAAAGATATGATCGCGGAATCATGATGATAACTTGAACATGTATACTTAATCCCTAACAACAGGCTTCTCAAACATTTTGTTGCTTCGGTAAAGCAAACGACTCACCTACGGTCACAAAGTCAGTGAATGATGGAGCTGGGATCCAGAGCTAGAGCTTCCCACTCCACATCTCCTGAATGTTCCATTGCACCAGGTGAAGAACAGTCCCTTAGGCTGAGGCCATTTCCCTGCCTCTGGAGAAGACAGCAGGGGGACAAGCCAAAGGTAGGAGAAGGTTCAGGATAATGGTCTGCAGAGTTCTGGCAAAGGGAGGGTGGAAGGAGATCTCTCACCTGTTGTTTCGGTTGATGGCTGCCACCATCAGTGCTGTCCAGCCAAGTTTGTGCCTCGCATTGACATCTGCACCTTCTGACAATAGTCTGGAGAGAGACAGAAATATTTTCAGTGTATGGTTTATCATGGACATAGAGTGGAAGACATGAAAAATCAACAGGGACTAGATGGATTTGGAAATAGTTATGGACCTCTGAGAACCAAATACCCATCCCAGCTCCTCTGGTCACTATCCCCTGACTCTACGCTTCCTCTTGCTCTCTCTCTTCCCTTAAATGAGTCTGCCTCCACTCTTATCCTTCCAGCTTTCCGAGGAAAGAATGTGCCTTCTCTCTATCCAGAATGCTCTCTCCCTGACTCTCTGCCTATTTTAATCCTACTTTCATGGGATACAATCCTGGCTTGGGGGACTCTGCCTCAACAAGGCTCTCCTGACTCATCCAGTACACAGATCTCTGTCCTTAGAATTTCTCCATGCTTAGCACCAAATGTTCGACAACACTTCTCATCTATGTAGCTACCAGTTTAGAGAAGGATCCCACTTCTCAAGTTTATCTGTATGGTGGCTGTTTGGAATTGGAACTCTTTGAACCCAAGGAAAGATGGAAAGAGTGTTAGAAATGCTAGATGAGGTTTCTAGGAAAGTCCATGTGAACCTACTTGACTGGATATGTAAGTGCCTAGCATGTGGGTAGCAGCTCAGCAGCTGTTGGATAAATGAACAAGCATGAGGTTTTAACCATACCCCTAAAAGTCTGGGTATTTTAGGTCCTGGTAGCAGGGGACCCTATAATGTGGGGGTAGACAGAGAGAAGGAGAGTAAAGAGAACCAACTCTTACTGAGCACCTTCCACAAGCAGGAACTGCCTGGGAACTTTGCATACATTCTCTCCATTCACTCTTCACACACGCTTAAGGAGCTGATGATGTTAATCTCTTTTCATGGATGAGGTAACAGGTTCAGTGAGGTGAATGATCGATAAAGGTCACTAAGCTAGGTAAGGGGCAATCCTGTGACTGGAACCCAAGTCAACAATGGCTCTGAAGCCTGAACTCTTCTCACCTCATCACCCCTCCTCTATACTGAACCTGGCTCCATGTAACATGGAAGACAAAAGACTGAATAGACTCCAACAAATCAGCATGATATGCACTTGATCCTGTGCTGAATTCTGGAATAGGGGTATGGTGAACACAGGGGGTTTGTTCTAGGGAATTTAGTTGTGGAGGGAGGACTCAGGATAACAGGAAACCAAAGCCTATAGTGTGTGGTCTCCCACCAGAAGTGTTGTAGGAGGCCAGGAAAGGGGGAGACCAACAGTCAAGAGCATTTCACCAACAAGGAAGGAGCTGCTTATTAGGAATGGGTGTTTGGGGGAACTGTGAGGCTGTCTACTCATCAGTGGGTTCCAGACAAAAGGGCCCTGGCAAAAAGTCCAGATGTTTGGGGTTGAGTCCTAGCTCCATTCTTTTGCCATAAACTGTAGTAGCTGCCTCTCTGGACTAAGCCAACTCTAACGTCTGTGCTGTTGAAGTAAGCAGGTGATGAAGGCTTGGAAGGATGAAGAGACGCAACATGTACTCATTTGTTCACTCAGCCTGTGAACTCATCTGTTCACTCATTTGTTCCCTGCCTTTGCAGACATTGACACAGGCAGTTAAAGTCTGAGGGGCGACAGACCAGCAAGCACATCACCACACATCTGATGAGTGCTAGGAAAAGGGGCTGCAGGTTGCAAGTGTACAACCAGGGAATCTAACCAAGTCTTAATGATCCATCAGGCCTCTCAGAGGAAGTGATGATAACAGAGTTAGCCAGACAAAAGCGGGCAAGGCAGGGGAGGAGTGTTTCAGGCAGAGGTAAAGCCTCTCGACCAGAGTAGAAGGCAGCATGGGTTATATGAAGCCCTGAGAGAGGTCTTGCACAACTGAGGTACGAAGTGTGAGGGTAAAGTGTCGAGAGAGGAGGTTGGGAAACCCTCCTTCTCTCACCTCTAATTTGAAAGGTTTCTTCTGGGCAAAATCCTTGGCCTCTTATCTTACTACATACTGTTAAGCATCTTTTATGCAGAAATAAGTGTCCATAGTAAAAAAGGTTAAAGAGGCTAAGAACCCTAGGGATAATATTCTGAGACAAAAATCTCTTTTTAGACAAAACCTTCCCTTGTTCAGCAGGCCAAGTGGTGCCGTGGAGAGCACAAAGTTCTGAGAACTGAGAGACTGGAGTTCTGATTTTAACTGTGATTCTGGCTGGCTGGCTTCATGTTTCTGGCCCCCAGTCCACAAGACTAGAAAATCAGGAAGGGCTGAAGCAAATCAGAGGTTTCTGAGGGAAAGACCTGAACTCTGTCTTGAAGAACAGGAACAATTTAGAGGAGGAGGAGGAAATACACGCCAGTCAAGGCAAAAGGCACAAGATACTGTTTAGAAGCAGGGAAGTGATGAGAAGGCATACTCAAACAGACCACCAGGCAGATCCATCCATGTGACAGTTAACAGCACAGAAACAGGCAGCTGCCAAGAGATTAAGGGCCTATCAGAGGGTCTCAAAAGCCAAGCTAGGAGTACAAGGCAATGGGCATAAACCTTTTTGAGCCATGGACTCCTCTGAGAATATGATCAAAGCTGATGATCCTTTCCAAAAAAGTGCACAGGTGCACACACATTCAAAAACAACATAAAACTTTCTTTACATACAATGTCCAGAGGTTCATAGGTCCTCAGGAAATCAATAGTGGACCCTACATTAAAAAACCAATCTAAAGGGTTGACAAATGCCTGGCATGTGGTCCTGGGCTCCTGCATTTGAGTCAGAAATCACAAATCTCTCTTGGCAGCTCTTTGCATGGAGCCCTTGAAAGAGCCTCCTCAACACTGGCTCCAATTAGCCACCATCAATAACAGGAAACCTATTTGCCATTCCTTAGAGGCTCACCATAGGCAAGTGGGGTTGTCACGGAAGTTTGGGGTGAAAGAAATTAAAGAATTAACCTAATAGCTTAAGCAAGCTGAGTCTGAAAGTAGACAGAGTAGAAAACAGGGACAAGGAGACCACTTTGGAAGCTGCTGTAACGTAGACCAAGGGAGATGAGCTAATGCAGGAGTGGACAGAAGAAACTCAATGAAGCCAGAACCCTTTATACCTTAATTGGGTCAGTGACCCGCGTTTCCCTGCCTGGGCCTGAGAATTCTGGAAGCAACACTCTTCTGGAGGCAGTGCTGAAGAAAAAAGATTGAGATACTTCCTCTTCCGGCCCCTTTAAGGGCTGCTGCTGCTGCTGCTAAGTCGCTTCAGTCGTGTCCGACTCTGTGTGACCCCATAGATGGAAGCCCACCAGGCTCCTCCGTCCCTGGGATTCTCCAGGAAAGAACACTGGAGTGGGTTGCCATTTCCTTCTCCAATGCATGAAAGTGAAAAGTGAAAGGGAAGTCGCTCAGTCATGTCCGACTCTTCGCGACCCCATGGACTGCAGCCTACCAGGCTCCTCCATCCACGGGATTTTCCAGGCAAGAGTACTGGAGTGGGGTGCCATTGCCTTCTCCTTAAGGGCTGAGTGTAGTGTAATAAAAAGGTGAATCAAAGGCTCTGGAGTAAGTCAGACATGGATTCCAATTCTAGTCCAGCTAGATAATGCTGAACAAATAAATTCTGAGTCTCAATTTTCTCACCTATCAGGTAGGGACAACAATCTCTGACTTGCAGGGATCCCAACTCAGTACCTGGCATATAGCAGGTACTCATTACAGAGTGGTTTTTGCCTGCCACCCTAACCTGTTTCCATTTCTGTGATGGAACTAAGCGATGTGGCCTCAAGTTGGTAGTGGCAAATTGGCAAGTAACTCGGGATTCTAAGACAGGGTCATACAGGATGACCTGGGTAGTTTAGCCAGGCTAGCTCCAAGCACTTTTTTGTTCATTTATTCAACAAACATGCACACACTTACTCTGTGCCTGGCTGATGCTCGCTACTGAGGAGACAAGTCAGAAATTCTTTTTTTCCCAAGACCTAAGCCAAGCAGGGTTTTCTTTCCTTTTTTAAACATGCATCTGTGTATTTATTACTTTTTCCCACAAATAACTGCATTTTAAAATATGTTCACATTGCTAAGGATATAATAATTCCATTTTAAATTGCAACTTAATTCTCCACAGCACATCCATCAGAGATATTCCCTCTCTGTTCTCCCAGGCATACCCATCCAGGTAACATTCATCTCTTGGTCATCAAAAGCAACATTCAAAGAACATCCTGTTGCATATGCCCTTTTGGACCTGTGTGAGTCTTTTCTCAAGGCATGTACTCAGAGTGTGATCCCTGGGTTATGGGGTTTACACCACTTGATTTGATTAAATAGCACCAGGGTCCTCCTCAGGACAGCTGTTTCATCTACCCTCTCACCAGCAGAACAGGGGCATTCCTGTGTACTGCGGACACTTGGCAGCAGCCAACTTTCTAATCACTGCAAGTGCAATAGGTATAAAGGGATTTCATGCTATCCTTTTAATCTGCATGTCTCTGATAAGCAACAATTTGGAGCTACTTGTTGTATGCATATTAGCATGCTGAGGTTTCCTTTTTCTGTACATTGCAGGGTTTTCTTTTAAGAGGAGAAAATGCTGGGAGAGAAGGCTTCTCCAAACTTCCTATCCTTTCAATGAACAGAGTAGAAAGAGCACAGGGCAGAAGATCTGCATTCAAGTTCTAGTTCTGCCACCTCCTGACACCCCAAGAAAGATATATTATCCTCTGAGCCTCAGGCTCTTTACATGCCCACTCCATGGACAGAGGAGCCTGGTGGGCTACAGTCCACGGGGTTGCAAAGGGTCAGACACAACTGAGTGCACACACACACACACACACACAAGTACTGAAATCTGAGGGAAAGGGTTCTGTAAACCTGAGGGATCATTCCTAGGAGGTAAATCTACTGCAACGGTCCTGGAGTCCAAAGGCTAGAGTTTAGATTCTGGTTCTGTCACTTATTAGCTGTGACACCGGGGCTATTAATCCCTACTGTGCAAGGTGGTTATAAGGATTAAAAGAGATACCACAAGGCAGAACTCCATATGGAGTGATGGCACCTG